CAAGTTCAGCAAGACGTTAAGTACACTTACGTCGGTGGGAATAATTTACAGCGCGCCTGTGAGTGCGCCTGTGAGCCTCACTCGCCGCCTCACTCTAATGTTTGCCCTAATTGTTTTACTAGCGTCTCAGAAGCTAAAGACAATAGTGTTGTACAAACTACTTAACAATTCTTGCATAATAGGTACAGAGCCGCTTACTACGAAGCAATCCAAAACACTACAATCACTGCGAATTTTGAAACGCCATTTAAATATGTAACATCATCTTAAATATCGCCACGTCGTTTGTCGGATCGAAAGCGGCGATTAGCAAGTTTCGTTTCAGTATTTCACCGACAAGGTCCTCTCAAAGCGGTGCAATCTTATAGGAACAATGGAATTAACATAAAACCAATGTAAATTACATTCATACGCCAAAAAAACATTACTCCGGTTCGGGTAAAAATTGTTAACACACATTGTAATTACGTTACATCGGTAACAAATAAACATGAAGGTAACGAGTTCAAAGGTACGAGTACCGTAATGCCGCATCCGAAATTGCTTTGAAAGCAATTCGGAACTTTTTAATTATCTTTGTTGTCGGCTATCGAATGGAATTGAATCCCCGACAAGAGCGCGCCATTTGTATGTCGACTGACGCTATACAAAAGGAGTCAACAAGCCGACGATTGTGCAATTACTACGCATTATTTCACTAAAAATCTGTTTTTCTGTCAATGAATTGTTCCATTGCGATAAGTTTTGTGGATATTGTATTTTTTTTAACCTCATATTTTGGGCGGCGTGATATCTAATGTTACTTCTTACTAATTACTAATATTATAAATGCGAAAGTTTAGATGGATGGATGTTTTTTAGAGTTTGTTGTCTAAACTGCTAAACGGATCTCGATGAAATTTGGTACATATGTAGAGAATATTCTGTAAGAACACATGGGGTACTTACTTTAGGTTTTTTGTTTTTTATATACCACGCGGGCGGAGTCGAAGGCAAAAGCTAGTTGTAAATAAATGAAGTATATAGTAGAGCTTCAAGTTTGCACTGATGATGTCTGCGGTCTAACAGATTAGATCCTATCAAAGCTTCATTTGAATGTTGTGACAAGTTGATTGCTTTATCTAATTACATAGTTACAGTTACATACATCCGTATAATACAATTGACATTTGATCTCAGAAATAACCATAAACTATATTATACCTAAAAGTTTACAATATCTACCAACTTAGGATGATTTTTTTGTTATTAAACAGACTTTTATATGCACATAAAACTTTTATATGCATATTAAACAGACTTTTATATTAAATATGCACATAACAAGTTTTCTACTACAATTTTAATTTAATACTGAGGTTTTTTATTTCTTTTGTAATATAAATCCACCTGAATCCACCGAAATGGAAAGCGTCCGCTGCCCATTAACATCCGCTATTGCAGATGCGTTGCATACCCTTAATTCACGGAGGAAGAGACGCACATAAAGAGGACAATTCCCTTTCCTATGTGTCTCCTCCATCGTTAAATCCACTTTTCCTTCCCATCCTTTCCTCTAAGAAAAGAGTGGAAAGGGAAATGGACTAAAATAGGGCCTCCGGCACCACACTCTTCAGACGGAATTTCTTCCACTTCACGCCTGTCTTCTATGCAATCGTGGTATTACACAGGGCGAGCCGGCCCATTCGTGCGAAGATGTTAAAGCGGGCTCTACCACTGTTAAAATAAAAACTAGATAAGATTAATTAAAGTAATATAAATAAATAAACTTTCACGATGCACTGTGCATTTGTGATAAGAAAGGTCGTAAACTAATCATGTTTGTCAATAGCAGACAAAAACAAAATGATATCTCGGTGCAGTGCGCGGTTTGCACTATTATACAGAGTACGATACAAGTTGTTATTGTTAATAACAAACCAATAATAATTAAAACTCAATTTAAGTCCTAACAAAATCAAACATCTTTGAAAAAAAAAACAACGTGGGTGTTCAGTGTAAAATCCTATTTTTAAAAGGATTCTATTTTTTTAAGGAATGGAATGTTTGCATTTAACTCGAATTAACTGATCTGCAGATGTTTCTGATACTTCTGAGTATATTTTTGGTGTCGCTGGCGTTGCTGGCGTGCCAGCACGGGAAGCGCCGGCGGGACTATTGGCGGCGGCGCGGAGTCCCGCATCTCCCGCCACATCCAATCCTTGGCAGCCTCACCTTCTTGCAGCGAGAGAATCCAGTTAGTATAATGTCGAACCTTTCTTAAATCACTTATATCTGTTACTTCGGTAACAGAATTTAATATTGATAAAACGTTGTACTACTAAAATTATTTGACCGTCTACTGATATATCAGTTATCTAAAGATCGGTTTTGTACCGAATGAATTAAAAAGGTTAGTGGTTTTTCGTTTGTTTTTCCAGTCAGTATGGATGCGGCGGATGTACGACAAATTCCGCAGTCCGTACGTGGGTATCTGGTTGTTCTGGCGACCGGCTCTCATCATCAACTGCCCGGATATCGCTCGTAATGTGCTGGTTAAAGACGCCAGTGTCTTCAAAGACAGGTTCCTCAGCTCGGGGAAGAGCGATCCAATTGGAGCTCTTAATTTGTTCACAGTCAAAGTAAGACAACACGAATTATGTAACATTTGTATTAATAGGTACACATATGCATTACTCGTATTATGGTTCTTGTACACAAGACCCTTGAACTTTGTCAGTATAGATTAGAATTTGCGGTAGAAATTAATCATAATCATAAGCTATTCATTTATCGATTTATATTTTTTTCATTTCTTTTTTCTTTAATAAAAATTATATCTTCATTATTATGTACAATCTATAAACTTGTAGTTTATCTCTCCTTTACTGTTTATGTTGTCAGGATCCCCTGTGGTCTTCGCTACGTCGCCGGCTAACAGTAGTGTTCACGTCACACAGACTGCGCGCGTTGCACGCACTCACCGCGGACTCGTGCAACCACCTCGTGCACAGAATATACAATGAAATACAACAAAACAAATATACAGATCTGAGAGTAAGAATGAAAATGAAAAATGAAAAATGAAAAAAATATTTATTAACCAAAAAGATTGTACAAAACAAATAACTTTGAAAATACCTTAAAATTATACATAATAGGAAGTTAAAA